TAAATATGACTATGAGATCCCAGCTATCTGCTAAGATGATAAGTTTTCATGTACTATGCTTAAATTTCGTAGTAGAAAACATTATAAAAAATTTATGTTCAAAAGTGTCCAGGTACTACCTCCTTTACCTTACAACCGACAAGGAGATGATTCCTCATTGAAAATAAGGAATATAGTTCTTTCATGAGAAGCGTCATTTTCAAAATCGAGTTTTTTTTTTTTCTCAAAATATAGAAAAATGCTTCAAATGAAAGTTGTTTTATCTGAGGTATATAACATGTTGTAGGATTCGAACTCCTCGACTTATCAACGCATGTGGGCTACGATGACCGAAGCGAGGCCAAGCGTATTCACCAAGACGAACGACGAAGGTGTCGAGCGAGTGCAGAAGCAGAACCGGGATTACGTTTTTCTTATGGAATCCACGACCATCGAATACAAAATGGAAAGAAACTGTGACCTCGACAAAGTCGGAGGTCTTATCGATAACAAGGGATACGGGATAGCTTTGCCTCGAAGTGAGTTCGACAGTTTTATTCGTTACGATTTCGAAATAGAATAGGACTCGTACCTACTGTCTCCCAGGCAGCAATGATTATTCGAAATAATGTTAAGGACTTAGTTTTTAAAGAGAATTATAAATGAAAAAAATTGTTAAGTTTATTTTTTAAGATTGAATTATAGATGAAAAAAATTGTTAAGTTTATTTTTTAAGATTGAATTATAGATAAAATAAATTGTTAATAATAATAAAGCCACTCTTTCCCGGGGCTGAGTTACCGAGACGCCGGGCTTAGTATGGCCAGGACGAATCTGGTCCCGAGAATCTAAGATTGGGCACAATTCAGTTTTTAATCGTTCTGCGCATCTCAGTACTGTACTATGTATACTGAACCGTGTGAAGGGAGTTCATTGCAACCCCCACCACCTTCTAAGCTACGCAAAACAGTCTTAAACTCTCGGGACTGCAAGTACAGTGCCGACATTTCATTTTAATGATCTGAGAATTAACATAAATAACACAACATAATAATTAACACGTTAAGCCTAATCAAGCCTAATCTTGTTAGTCACTGTTAACTGACAGATACAATTACAAAATGTATTATTATTTATAAAAAGGCAGATGACCTTAAGGTGTTATATGTATGAACTTCTTCACAGATTCCCCTTATAGGACTCCTATAAGCAGCGCGATTCTGATGCTACAAGAGAAAGGGGTACTACAAGAGCTTAAACAGAAATGGTGGGAGAAACGCGGTGGTGGTAAATGCGCAAAGGTCGATCAATCGTCCGCTTCGTCTAGCGAATTAGGTATAGCGAACGTCGGAGGTGTCTTTTTGGTACTGGGGATCGGGTCTGGTTGTGCGTTTGGCATGGCTGTGCTCGAATTTCTGTGGAACGTGCGGAAAGTCGCCGTAAAGGAAAAGGTGAGGCCATACATCGCTTTCGTGATCTGCTTTGACATTAGAACCACCGAAACTGTCAAAATGGCTGGTTTTCAATGAAGAAATGCATTCGTAAATAAAAGTCAATAGTTGGAGAACGAATTACCAGTTTTGCTGTTTCATATATCAAACGATGAATAAGCTCGATTTTTCGTTTGGCATAGATCACACCGTGGGAGGCGTTGGTAGCAGAATTCAAATTCGCCGTGAACATCTGGGCGGAGACGAAGCCCGTGAAAATTGCGAAAAGCAGCGGCACGAGTTCGGTGGCGGACGGCGGTCTCGGCCGAGCGGCGTCGGCGGCCCGTTCAGTCGTCGGCTCTTTCCTCCGTCTCGACATCATCGACAAAGTCGACAAAGATAATGGCAACAATCGCAGCAACAATTTCAAAGTGAATTGAAATCATCGTAACAAATCTCGATTATTATTCGACCTTTCATGATTAAAAACAAGAAATAAAGGAATTCATTTTATCGTAGGAGTCGCAATCTTTCAACAAATAAAACGATTGAAATAAAATGGCGTTACTTATTTTCTCATACCAACACCTATTCCTATGTAAAGCGAAACTGAAAGCGTGAAACGTAAGAGAGTTTCAAAGGAACAGCGGAGGAAGGGAGAAAGCGTGAAACTGACTCCTCGCATAAAGTCGTCATTCTCGAGAATAGGTAGAATCGCAAGAATGGCGACGTCATGGGAAGCAGAGATCTTCGCTGTAGGTCCCGGGGACCGAAGGAATCCAACAATATTTGGACTCGGTGACAATGGCGCTAACGAACCGTGCCCTTGGTTTAGGAGATTTCTGTCCCTGTGGAATCACCTGAGGAGGTCCCCTGATCCCTGGCACACCCCGGGAACAGGTCGGCATCTTTGTGTCATTATTACACGTTTTTCCGGGCGAAGCTGTCGATCCTTACCGAGAGGGCGCTTTCAAATTTACCGACCCATTTGCGTCAGGACACCTACTGGGCTCATAAGCGACGAAAATGTTTCCATTAGCTTTCCCTTCAGAGAATTTCTCAGGCCTGTTTCCTCGTTTATTTAAACAACATCGATGGCTGAAAGAAAAATGACTGTAGCGTGAAAGTGAAAAGTTCGGTGCCGGTCGTCAGTCTCAGTTGACGATAGCATCTAGACGTCTGGGACGGGTTAAAAAGAATAGACAGCTCGCCCGACCGCAGGCGGCACCGATGAAAGAGTCTGAAAGTATGAAGTCGTACGGGCATGTCTACCGGCAGTTCGGTGATAAAGGCGTAAAGGACACCAATTAATACTGGTTTTCATAGCGGCGGTAAAAGCATGTAACACGATTACGAGCAACATTTACGGCGGACGAACGGCCTGTTAACTGTACGGTATTTTTGCAACGGGACGGTTGATAATCGTAGTCGTTCGTTTCGTGAAATGAAACTTCCCGGTTTTTATGGCATCGCCGACGCGTCTTTTACGAGCTACGCGTGTTTAGAGGCTAATATCCTGGCGGATGCTTATTATCGGATCGTGCGTCGTGTTCCTGATTAAAAAGCACAGGCGAACGATCTTGTCAATCTCAGATTACCTCACCATTTTCAATTAAATCTAACGAGACTATGGTCTAATTATTTAATTATGCATATAGTTAAAAAAAAACCATTCAATATTTATATGGTATATGGGATGCACTGTACTGAGGAAAAGAGCTTTAGTAAACATACGTTGAAAAGTCACCAATTTTTAGATAATATATAAATATTAAATGGTTTTTTTTAACACCCTTTATATACAATAAAAATGATTGTTGGGAAACATTTCATTGTCTTGTATTTATTGTATATTCATCACAATTCGATTTCAATTGTTGCTTTGTGCTCGACCAATCGTGAGGCTTCTTCACAAAGTCTTCCATCTTTAAAATATGGCATCGATCATAATTATGGCGTTCGTTTAGTCTTCAATTTTCAAAGTAAATGTTGGATTATGTGATAAAATAAATATGTACAATAAAAATGACTGTTGGGAGACATTAACCTCAACACAACTGAAGGTAATAAAAAAATGGAGGTAATTTAAGAAAATGTACAAATATAATATAATAAATTACATATATTCTGTACACGTTCTATAGATAGTTTCATTACATCTCCAATATGAAACAGTTTTCTCTACAGAAATCGTGATACCTGAATCCTATTTTTGAATTATCCTCAGCATCGAACCAGCTGTTTTATTAACGTCGCGTTAACCTTCCCCTTAACGATGGTTCCTAGCGATAAAATGTATCCTTCATGTGGAATATCGACGTAAATCCTTTAGGCGGCTAGCAAAACCGCGCGGTCGGATGCGATTTAAACGACGCGGCCGGGGGATTTAACCAGCTAGCGGATTCAGATTATCGTGGAACCCCCTTAATCGACACTGAAATAAATCGTCGTTGCGAGGGGTTAATTAAGTTTTATGGTACAAGCGTCGCCGTCACTTAGGTGTGCCGGCAGCGTTATCTACGATACATCTTCATCTTGAGCCTGACCTGCTGAATTGAAGCCTCCTCTCTCCTGCCGGTACGACGTGGGTACCAAAGTAGGTAGGTAGATACACATGCGAGCTTTTCAGACGAAAACAACAGGTGCAAATCCTGGTCCAAAACCTACCGGCGGGATATCCTTTACGATCGTACGGAATTTCAAATAGGAAGACTCCTCTGACTCTGCATGCTGATCGTTTCACCTCAAACTGCGAATTCCTCGATTTTAAACTGTTGTTGGAATGAATGATTCTATGAAAACCTACATCATTAGGCAAAAATGTATCGATGGCGTGGTTGAGGAGTTATTAACAAAAAAACCCGGACCAATCAGAGTGCTCGGTTGACGCGATCTACGAATCGGGAGCGTTGGCTCGGATCTGGGTTATCAACAATCTATCATTTCCCCATCCATTTCATTTGAATAACGATTAAATGTATTAATTGTTATTAATTTCCTTGCATTGTTATTCA